TACTGTGTATATTTATTATGTCTATATAAATACAAACACATACATGCATGTATATATTTAGAAAATATGTACATGTGTACACATTTATATTCTTATATTTTATATATAAATATATACAGTATGTGTGTGTATTTATATAGACATAATAAATATACACAGTACACACTCATATATTATGTAAACAAAAACTTTTACTTTGGATGTGATTAATCGTTTGACAGCATTAATTAAAAGTTTAACAAAAATTACATGTTTAGGGCCCTATTTAATTTTTTCTCACCATGTTTTATTGTTACCAAATTCTGTTTTAGCATGTCTAATTATTTGAATGCATAAAACAACTTAATGTATTCTTACAATAGCCTTATAAAATGTTTTATTTTCACTATTAGTTTCTGTTCATATTTTGAATTAGATCTTATTTTTAGATTTTCATTTTAGGGCCCTACGAAATCCGGTTTATTTTTTCCCAAATTCCATTTTTTTCTTTCACGTGTTAATTTTTCTGGATTCCTTTTTAATGGTTAAATTGAATTTTATTAATCAAAAAGCATGTCTAACTAATTAAAATCATGAAACTTACATAATTTCACATCAATTTATTAAAAGTAGTGCTGTCAAACGATTAATCACATCCAAAATAAAAGTTTGTTTACATAATATATGAGTGTGTTTACTGTGTATATTTATTATGTCTATATAAATACAAACACATACATGCATGTATATATTTAGAAAATATGTACATGTGTACACATTTATATTCTTATATTTTATATATAAATATATACAGTATGTGTGTGTATTTATATAGACATAATAAATATACACAGTACACACTCATATATTATGTAAACAAAAACTTTTACTTTGGATGTGATTAATCGTTTGACAGCACTAATTAAAAGTTTAACAAAAATTACATGTTTAGGGCCCTATTTAATTTTTTCTCACCATGTTTTATTGTTACCAAATTCTGTTTTAGCATGTCTAATTATTTGAATGCATAAAACAACTTAATGTATTCTTACAATAGCCTTATAAAATGTTTTATTTTCACTATTAGTTTCTGTTCATATTTTGAATTAGATCTTATTTTTAGATTTTATGTTTTCATTTTAGTTAAAGGTTTAGTCATTTTGTTTTGTGTTTTTGTCATTTTTAAATATCTATATAGCTTTTATTAATTTTTTACTTAGTTTATTGGGTTTTAGTTACTTTAGCACTTCAAATTAAACTAAATGAAAATTAAAAAGTTTGCCTTGGCTACTAGCTAAAATAAAAAATTATTTTTTTAAATATATTTTTAATTTAAGAAAAACCATGTAAATACTTTTTTTTTTACTTGAAATAAAACTAACTCAAATAAAATAAAACAAACACTTCATCTCAGCTAGCTGCCTATGCAACTTTTCTCATTTTAATTTAGTTTAACTAGACGTACTGAAATAATCAAAATGGAAATAAAAATTAATAAAAACCATTTAGACATAAAAAAAAAAAGTCCAAAACACAAAACAAAAAACTAAAATAAAAATGAATGCAGAAATGATATAAAATAACATAAAAGATTCAAAATATTAATGCAAACTATAATAGTTACTCAATTATACTA